GAAATGAATCGAAATAATCCCAAGACCAGCGAGGACAGCCAGCTGAGCTAGAACAAACGCCGCGCGGAGCGCGAAGGCCAGTAACGCCAGTGTCGCTCTTTTCTCATGCAAACCTCTCTACCAATTGCCGCCTGTCGCTTCGAAGCCGCCCCTTGGGGCACCCCGTAAAATACACCCACCGCCTCCCCCCCCCCCGTCCCAACCCTCCAAACACCCTTTTCCTCCCGCGCCCTCCTTGGGGTACCAACTGAATGAAGCGAAACAACACGTCTTCCGCCGAACGCCGGTACCTGCTTGCACCGTCCTGTCTACAAGCGACGACACACCTCGGGGCTCATTCCATGCGAGCGCAAGCGCACATGGCTCCGTTCTCCGTCCCGGCGCGCTTCCTTTTTGTGGACAAACCCATGTCTCCAAAGCACGGTGCACAAAGGGAGTAAAAACTTCACAGAATAAAAAAAAAAACGCCCATCGAGGGGTCTTTTGCAGCATCTAGCCGTTGCGACCTGGCGGCTGAGACGTCGCAGGGAGGCGGCCGGGCGGGGCGTGTTGGAAGGAACCCAACGAAAGGGGGTGTGGTAGACTGCGCTGCTGCTGCTGCTGCTGCTGCTGCTGCAGCTGCTGCAGATGCTGCTGCTGCTGCTGCTGCTGCTGCTGTTGCCGACGCTGAGTTGGCGGAACCTGTTGCTGTCGATGTTGCGGCTGCTGCTGACGCTGCTGCTGCTGCTGCTGCTGCTGCTGTAGCTGCTGCTGCTCCCAACGCGACGAAGCTCTAGCCTCGCCGGCGTCAAATCCGACAGAACCACCGCCCGCTCCCCCGAGTCCGTCAAAATGCGCGCCAAGGAATGCGCTGCCGCCGCCGCCAATGCCGCCGCCTATAGAACCGCTGCTCTCCCAGCTCGGGGCCAACAACTGCCCCACGTCCGGACCCCCGCTATCCAGCGCGGTCAACCCCCCCTGCTGCCCGCCTTGATGCTGCGGTGCCCCTCCTACCGAGACTGTCATCCCCAATGAACCACCATCGTGCCCGCCCGCCCGCTGCTGCTGCTGCTGCTGCTGCTGCTGCTGCTGTTGCTGAGGGGTGCTCCCACCGCCGCCGCTTCCGCCGCCGCCGCCAGCCCACGGACGGTTATCCGCGAGCACGTTCGCCGCCGCCGACAGGCGCCTGAAGTTTGAGATGCCGGGGAGCAGGGGAGGGTGGGGCAGCACCGGCGGCGACAGAGGCGACGGCGACGACCAGGCCAAGCCCGGGAGCCCCGGCAGCCGCACGTGTGCGAGGTTCGAGGCCGGGCCGTGCCCGCTCCGGCCGCCGTACTGGTGCAGGGGGCCGTGCACCGACGGCTCCGTCGGTGGATGGCTTTATCTCGAGGTTGGTCCCGTCCCCAATGCCACCGGCGGCGGAGGCAGCGGCCGCAGCGGCGGCTGCGGCGGCCGCGGCGGCGGCCACGCCGCCATCACCGCCGGCGGCGGCGACGGAGCCAGCGCGACAGGAGCTCGCGATGCCTCCCCCTGCCGAGACGCTCATGCCGCCGACGCCACCGCCGACGCCGGTGGCTCCCGCCGTCCCGCTCGAGGAGGACGAGGAGGGCACCGCCTCGCGGCCGCCGCTCGACGACGAGGACGGCCACGACGACCACGACGACGGTGTTAGGCCCGGCGACGAAGACGAGGCCGACGACGGGTGTAACCCTAGCGACGATGCGCGGTGATGAGACGACGAAGCCGCCCTACTGCTAATGCCTCCGCCTCCGCCCCCGCCAGCCCCTGCCCCCGCCGAACCCTTGCCGCCAACGCCACCACCCACCGTCGCCATCGGCGCCCGAGCGTTCACGGGCGCGTCGACGAATCCCGACGTACTGGAAATGCCCGGAGCCCCAACTCGAAAGCTGGACCCTCCGGAAAACCCGCTCGTCTCAGGGTGTGCAATGGTAAGCCCCCCGAACCCTTGGGAATCGTAACCCCCTCGGACCTGCGGCGTTGGTGGAAGAAACGCCGTCACGGGCGGGGTGACCAGTCCTGCACCGCCGCCGCTGCTGCCGCCCCCGCTCCCGACCCCGGCCTGACGGTGCTGCTGCTGCTGATGCTGCTGCTGCTGCTGCTGCGCTTCGTACAGCCGGCGCTGCTGCAGCTGGTGCATCTGCTGCTGCTGCTGCTGCTGCTTTGCTTGCTGCAAGCGCTGGTCAGAAGCCTCCGACCCTCCACCCCCGCCGCCAACATCATCTTCGCCAAACCCCAAGCGCCCCCGCTTCTTGCCAGCCGTGCTCAACAACCCCATGTCATCGCCCAGGCCCATCCGCTGGTGCAGCGACGGAGAAACCGGAGGGCTACGCCCCCCCCCCCCTCCGAGGCCAAGCCCCGTCAAGTGCCCCGCACCGCCAGGCGGCAGCAGGCGGGAGGGTCCCCCCGCCCCCGCGCCCGCCCCGATGCCCCCGCTACCCGTGCTCCCCGACCTACTGCGCCCGCCTATCGAGGGCAGAGGTACGAGACCGGGGGGCAGGTCTAAGTCGCACGAGCGGGGGTCGATGCCACGCTCCTGGTAAGCGAGGTGCAGCGAGCAATACAGGGGCTTCGTGTTAGAGTTGGGGTCGTCGGTGAAGAGGCGCTCCCGCCGGCACCCCGGCTGCTGGCAGCGGCGGTGCTTGACGTTGACCATGTCGTCCGTCTTGTGCCGGCCGCAGAAACGCGCCCTCTCGCCTTCGGCGCCGAAGTGCGGATGCTGCGCCGCGGGTACATCAGTCACGGTCGATTTGTTCGTTACCGACACCGGCGTTTTTTTTTGTGTGTGTGTTTTTTCCCAAAAAAGATTCATCCGTCGATAGATCGATTGGTGGGTGGGGTTGGCGTAGCAGCAGCGAAAGGTTTTGAGAGTGCAACGGTAACGGGGCGAGGGAAGACGGAGGAGGGGGATCGTCAGTCGAGCAGCCTCCGGAGACAGGCAGGCGGGCAGGGTTGGGTCGAAGGAAAGGAGGGAGGGAGGGTCGGCACAGACGAAAAGGTCCATTGGCGTGGTATCCAAATGGTTTAGGGTGGTGCAAACTGCAGAAAAACGACCACATCACTCGCGATGGCATTCTCCGCGCGTGTTTCACACCGGTACATCAGTCGTGACTGGCAAGTACACCTCAGTAGCAACAGGACAAGGCTTTCGGGATTCGATGCATGCTGTTCCCATGCAGTAAAGCTCAGTGTCGACATGACGCCGCATCATAACAGGTATAACACCCCGACCGCCCCATTGCCAACAAGGTTCAATGAGGGCGACCAAAGGTTACGTTATAGCACCAGGTGTGTTTCATCACCGACGCTACTGGGGCGACGGCGGTGGTGCTACGATATCCCAAGCGCCAGATTTTCGCTTCGACTCAGAATCAGCAGCGGCGGCAGCGGCCGAGAGAAACATGCGCCCGTCCTTGGCAGCCGCCTGCCCTGTGTGCTGCTGCCCATTCAACATGCGGTACCACGATCAACGACGCTCAGCGGCCCCGAAGAGCAGAGATGGACGAGGGTATTGAAGGGAAGATACGCCAGGAACAATAACGAAACGCCCTACAACGGACAAACATGGGCACGCCTGCCTGCTGTCGTGCCACACACCACCGAAACCGTCGTCTAAGTAACTCTTGTAAGTCTTGACCGACGGGGCGGAGACAGGATACCGGGTCTCTGTCTGTCTGTCTGTCTGTCTGTCTGTCTGTCTGTCTGTCTGTCTGTTTCTCTCCCTCCCTCTCTGCCGTTGTCTGTCTCACCTTTTCGCAGCCTCCGGGATACTCGCATCGCTTGTACACCACGTCCACCATGTCGCCCTCCCGATGGCCTGAGCAGTACATTGCCTGGAGGATACGCATACGATAGATAAACACGCAGCTTTACAAAAACAACTTGCATCACCGCAGCAGTGCGGTGCCCGCCAAAACCCATGACATACATGCCAGTCCCTCGGAGCGTTCACGAGATAAATATCAAAATGGGAGAGCAGAAAAAAATAATCCGCTGAAGGGGTCAGCCAGCAAAGCAGGGAGGGCACTTTACCCCCCCCTCCTTTTGTTGTTCTTCGTCGCTTTAAATCGCCCTACATAGCTCGCTGAAAATCGTGTGAAAAAATATAATTTCCCCGAACCGTGAAGGCCAGCGTTGAGATGCACAGTTATCAAGATCCGGAAGCAAAAGCCTAACTGTCCTGGCAAGGGGAGGATAATTTCCATTCTTTCTGTTCCCAAACTTCTACACAAAGGATGGCGATTATTTACTCTTGGTCTTGGCAAGTTTCAGGTCCTGGGAGGGTACAAAATGGTTCAGGCACACCACGAACAATGCACGCGCGGGCCGACTCTGTAGGTTACACCAAAGCAACCATCCGTTCGCGATGCTACGCATACAACCTGAAGTTGAATACTCCGCACGCGCGCGCGAAAGGCACAGCAGGCGTTCCAAATCGTGGCACTACGGGACCCATCGGCTAAAGAGTGAAAGGGCCACACAACCGCAAGAGGCCGAAAACTGTGCCGTGCCGTCGCCATCCCGCGGCGAGGCCACACGCTGGTATCCCGCAAGATACAACCCTCCTCGTGTGTAGTCAGATGGGACAGCACCAGAAACGCCGGTTATGCTGTTGGACGGGGAAAAAACTGCGCTTTCTTCTTATGGTCTCGACCAACAACGGAACTACATTTTCTAGAAACAACCACCCGCTGCTCCTGCGGTTTCTGTTCAATGTGCGGACACATGAAACAGCCAGCGTTGGCTCCGGAGTATCTATCGACACTAAAAAATATGGACGTATATTTTTCGGAGTAGGGGCAGCGACTCAAAAGGTGGTCTGACACGGAGTGGTGGTGGGGGCATGATAATTAGACTGCCGTTCTTCGGATATATATATAGCCGGCGGGGTCAATAGATCCACCCTCTTTAGCGATAGCCGTGCCCTATCGTATGCATGGGGCTTCGGCAATGCCGGCCAAAAGTCCATTCAAGTATCGGATCCCGGGTCTTCGTTTCTCTAACGCTATTTAGCATACTTTGGATTCCGCTTGGGTGATGCTGCTGCTGCTGCTGCTGTTCATGCACACAGGTACAGTAGTGTGGGGATAAGTCGGTCGCGTGGTTGTCGAACATTGTCAGCACACACACACACACACACACCCTCGGAGAGACAAGGGTTGTTGAAGTTTGGTGGCGCGCGTCCCCCCGATCGCCACAACGTTAACAACGGCAACAACAACAACAACAACGGCAATTACATCTCGTCAACTATTGGATATTCCAGGCATCGATCTCACCGGGGGGCGGACTTGTGTACGTTGTTACCAACAACTCGTTATCCCGTTTTGGGGGGACGGCGGCCGATAAGCAGCCGCAGCCGCAGCCGCAGCAGCAGCAGCAGCGTGCGTGCAATCGAGCGGTCCATGTGAAAGTGTAAAAACGGGACCAAGATATCATAGGAGATGGATGGTATCATACGGTATCTCAAAAGAGGATGTTTTCGTCCAAAAGATGTCAACGACATCATCCCCAAGTCGCCCTTTCGGCGCCAGGACCGAAGAATCGAGTGCACAAAAAAATAAGTATGCAAGATCCCAAAAAGCATGATAGATATGATATGTTTAAGAAAAATAAATACACACACAGAAAGACTACCCGTTCGACATATATATATATATATTATGTGTAAACGGCGGTGGTGATCGAACGAATTTATATTGCATGAGGGAGAAACAAATGTGGGAGTTTGTAAAGGAGGGTCAGGTTCCGTTCTCGCGTGCGGGAACAAATACCATCCACCTTGGACGGGAGCCAGGTCGTCTACTACCACCATGAATATACACAGTATGACAGGGTGTTTGCTGTCAACGGCAAAAGGCCAGCAGGGAGAGTAAGAAATTGGACGGTGACGGGGCGCACGTATGCATGCTTAAATTCATACATAGTGGATAGCGGCAGCGAGCGGCAGCGGCCCGCCTTCGGCATAAAAAAGCGAATTACATGAAATCAAAATTTCCTGCCGCTGCCCCCGGTCCATTTTTCGGCAATTGACAGAGGTCCGGGGCTCCGGTGCATGCGTACGTGTTTCCTGTGCCAGACAGCAGTGTACGAAGTCATCTCTCTGTGCGAGCCGCCACACAAAACGGGTGTGTGCATACATACACATGGGCACCCATGTTGGAGGCCTCCCGTAGCCGTTTCGTAGCTTCACAACAAGAGCAACGTAAGTCAAATGCGTGTGTGTGTGTGTTGTGTGTGTGTGTTGTGTGTGCATATCATATCGTATCCACAGAAGAGAAAAAACACCGGAAAAACATAGGTAACAAAAACAGTGCCTGCTCACACACCACCGCACGAACGAAGAAGGTGGCGAGAGAGAAAAAAAAAAAAAAAGGGGGGTCGAAAAAAAAGGCGCGCGTCCAAGCCCACCGCCCGCCGGTCTCTCCTCTCTCTCTCGCGCGCGCGGTGCTCTCTCTCTCTCTTTCTCTCACCTTTTGGCCCTTCCGCCCAAACGTAGGCTGCTTGCCGCAGCCCTGGTGATGGCACCTGCGTCCATGGATGTTGACCATCTCTGCGCGCCGAGCGGAAAAAAAAAAAGAGTACGAGAGAAGGGCCGTCGGTGGAAGAAGCCGTTTGGGTGCATTTCATTTCGAAGGAAAAGGGTGGGGGCTTTTGACGATGACAGAGAACAACAGGGAAAAACAGAGGCAGCAGCAGAGATGGATGGATGGGGTGTGTGTGTGTGGTTGGGAGTCTGCTGACGCCGCGGACACACAAAAAAATAAATCTGAAAATATTATTGCTCCCCGTCCCTCTTCGTTCCTCTTCTTTCCGCTCTTTGTTTCTGTGTCGCTGCCCGTTGCCATAGCGGCCGGCCTCAAGGCGTGTTGTCTCCCTCTCGCGCGACATGGAGCAAGGGAAGGAGTCAACCAACAGCGCCACCAGCGTTGGGCAAACAAAACACCCGCCGAGTATTCCTTCTCTCAGGCCATCGAAATTCGACCTCTTGTTTTCGTTTTCTTCTTTGATAACAACAAGTGTCACGGATGGGCAGATAATAAGAGGTTTTGATTGACATACATAAAACAAAAATTCGCCTGCTCAGGTTTGTTTGTTTGTCCATGCGGTGCAACCAACGCACACCCACGCCGGTGGCACTGCCCCTGTGGCTTGACCAACATGTTGTCGGTGGCCGGCGCCAACGGGCATCTACCTATTGCTCCGCTGGCGAGAGGCACGGGGCAACCATGCTCTTGCACGTGAAAAAAAACCGCGTGCAACCACCGTTTCCGAGGAGAGAGCGACGCACCACAGGGGAGATCCAAAACAGAGAGTGACCGCCGGAAAAAAAGTCGTGTGTGTTTGTGGGTCTTGCATACACACAACCCTTTGCAGAAAATATGTCCAGGGGAGAGCGCGTACACCCACACGGCTCTCTCTCTCTCTCTCTCTCTCTCTCTCTCTCTCTCTCTCTCTCTCTCTCTCTGCCTGCTGCAGCCAGCCGTGTGCGCGCGAGAGACTGGCACGACCGCTTACCTGGGTCCTTGTGCGTAACGCAGTAGATAGCCTTGCCGCCCACGTTTCCGTAGTGAGGCCTCTTGTAGCAGCCCGGCCTGGAGCACATCTTGTTATGCACGTTGACATACCCCACATCCTTGTGAAGCGCGCAAAACACCGGCTTGCCTCCGGGTAGGCCGTAGTATGCATGCCTGTCGCAGTTCTCTTCCCCGCAAGCCTTCCGCATAGGTCTGGGTCTCGGCGAAGTCGGCAGCGAGTTCGCCGAGCCCTGGTTGCTGCTGGCGCCGCCGCCGCCGCCGCCACCGCTGCCGCCGCCAGGCTGCTGTTGCTCGCCGCGCTGATCTCTGCCCCCTCCATGATTTGGTAGAGAGGCCCCCGAGCCTCTGCCTGGAGCGGCCGTAGTTGCAACGTGGTGGCCCTCGAATGAGGGCAAGCAACGGCCAGTGCAGGGATAAAACGGCGGCTTCCTGCTGGCGCCACCGTCGATCGCCGCCGCCTCTGCGCCGCGCCGCTGACCGCCGCCGCTTGCACACAGCAGTGGTTGCCGCCGCCTAAAATAAAGGGTTGCTCGACGAGCCCCCAATGCCTGCGGGGGTGTGTGGGTGGGTGTGTGCTGGCTGTTTTCTTGAACAACGAACACCAAAAAAAGAGGTTGTTATCTGTCTGCGGGGAATAGTGGTAGTAAGTAGTCTGCGTGTCTCATCTGCTGTGTCTGTCACATATGTTTCCTCTGCTTTTGTTGAGGGCGGGGAGAGGGGGGGTTGGACAGAGATTGGCTCTTTAGTGCAACAAGACACCGGAATATCTTGCAGCGTTGAAACTCCGTCCGTCCAATCCAATGGTCGATACCCATATATATCCTGTACGTACGTGCGTGTGGGGGGAACACCTGCTACGCTCGAGCCCCCGCGCTAGCGCATCCCTCTCGGTTGTGATGGTAACTGGGCACTGCCTCTATCTTGAGGAGGGGAGAGCATCAAATGCTATTTATTATGCCGCGCAAAAGGCGTGTGTACGTGTGTACGCTGACGCCGACCCTCCTTTTCGTTTGTTGTTGTTGTTGAGATCATTGCCATGTGGTTGATACGTTGCTGTTCCATCTGGCATGATGTGGTGGTGTAGCGTGAGTACGATAGATAACAATTGATCATCTGTGGTTCTTCTTGTTTGTGCACAACCAACCTTGGCACAACCAATAAAAAAAGTTGTAGGTGTGTGAGTGAGTGTGTGTACCCCACACCAAATGAGCGACAAGACTTTCACTCTCTTCTCCGTGCGGGTCGTAAGCGATGCCGGCGGGCAATCAATGCTACGTCGCGATTAATTATTTGTGTTTATAGCCCAAAAAACACCAGGAAGAAGACGAGAGAGAATACCCCCGACTAGACGTTGACTAAAACTGTACATACAGCGTAGTGACCAGCAACTCCTAAAGAAACAACAACTGCTACTACCTGTCTGTTTGTTGTACTGCGGACCACATCTATCTACTACTACTCTATGAGCCGAGCAAGCCTCAAAGCCTGATTTTTGCTGAGATAGATGTAGATGTATGTATGTATGTGCGTCCGGGCCGGTATGCATGTCCAAGCAAGGTCGTCGTGCATCATCTCATTATTATGTCATCATACAACAGAAGAAGCGAGTTGGTGCCGGCGGAGCCCATCGCAAAATTCTTGCTGCGCCATCATCATCAGCCATTTATATTTTTCTTCTCGGAAAATCGGTATTTGGTTGAGTGAGTGGTGATTGTGTGTTTCGTAGTATGTATGTATGTTGTACAGCGTTCGAACTCTGCTGTAGGGAAACGTCGGAACACACGCGCCTGCCTGTGGTCCCCCGTTGTTGTTGTTAGTGTTCCGTGTCGTGTACGGTTGGTTCGTACACACATCACGTACAGCAGCAAGCAAGAGGCAGTAGAGTATGTATCATGCATGGTGTGCTGCGTCTGCCTGCTGCGTGCAGCACCCTCACACACACATACATACTCACTCGATGCTAAATAATAAAAACACACCGACCCGCTCGCCGTTAGGATGCATGCATGCATACATACATACCAAATATCCTGTTCTTGTTGTATTGTAGTCTACTGACGACCCTGTAGGACACAATGTAGATGAACATATATATATATATATGCATGCAGCAGTAGCAACGGCCGACCTAACGACGCCAAAATAAATGCAACCGAAACCGGAGAGAGCGAGGGCGATGAGGGGATGAGGGGCATGGGGTGGTAGTGAGTGGTGAGTACTTTTTTTTCCGTGTCCGCGAACCCTCTCGTAAGAAGGGTGGGAGGGGAAGGGTCGGCCACGGGATGGGGCGCATGCACGCATGCATCTGTATGTATGTATGAGCCCAGCCAGCTCTTTTACAAGTCGCCCACCCATCTTACTAGTATGTTGCTGTGTTGCAGGCGTTCAGAGGTTTCCGCCCTTCTTGCTAATTAACTGCTGAACAAAGGCAGTTATCTAGCAGCTATACACGTCACCAGAGCATACTAGAATAAATGGATGACGCAACGTGTCTTTTGAAAATAAAGTCCGATGCGGCCCTCTTCCTGTGTGACCCTGGCCGGCGCGTCCAAACATGACATGTGCATCATACCTTCCAGAAGCAATGAAATGAATGAAATGGTGAGGCCCCCTGCACATAACGACGGACACAACTATGGTGAATCTCGTGGTTGTTTCGTTGGCGAAACTTCAGCCTTTTGTGTGACATCGAAATCCCGTCTGGTTGCGATCGCCGCAGAAGCTATTCCTCAGGATGGTTGCCGCCAGGATTGACGCTGGCCCACGCAGCGCTAAGGAACAATGAAATGGCTGAGGATTCGGAACAGTTTCGTCCAAGGGTGGTAAGCACTGCTGGTCGCTCAACCCCCGACACCCATCCTGTCCCTCTCGCCCTCCCACGGAACCCGCTGCCAGTGGACCCTTAACCATTCCGCGGCGGGGATCTTCAAGCAAGCTGCAACAGAGGCAACCAACCCTGATGGCCGAGAGCTGGCGTTGAAGCGGAGAGAAATTTGCGCACCGGACCGGAACCTCCCCAAGTTTTTTCTGTCTCGCTGAATGCAGCTTTCGCGAAAATATTCGAGACCTGTACGGAGGTGCTCGTGGCGTCTTACCACATAACACCTAACACACACACGCAGCGTAATGCGGACATTTCTGATCGCATGCGGACAGTTACTCGTGCTTACGCTTAGGTGTACAAATCGTTCCGCGCCCGCCACACACCCCGCCCGCGCAGGTCGCTCACAAGCAACAAGTGTTTACTGCTGTACTTGAACGGAGGTAAGCACGTTTTGTGTTCTGTAATTCTTTGTCGTGACACCCATGATGAGAACTTCGGGAAAACTGGAAAGTTGTTACCACGCTTCGCTCACTGCAAGGACATCAACACACCTCCTCGAGCTCTCTTCGTGAGTCGGTGTTTGAAGGATGCTTCCAGAAAAGCCTGCTCAGGCGTCAACGTCGCACCACGCCCAGACTAATCAATCAGGTACACAAATAATCTGCCCTACCACATATTATATATAGGCACGTGCACAGCTCATTTTGTCCCAAACGAACGACCTACACCTCCTTCGCTCGGCAAAAAACATCCGTACGCTCTCACGCACGCCTACATACAAATTGCCACACCTCGGCGCAATGCAAACATTAGCCAGCGCTCCAAAACACCGAACGCGATCACTCTCGATGGGTGGTACGTATTTGTATGCAACCTTCTCCCTTGCATACCGCAGCCTTTGTACCAACAACCTAACGGGGAGCATCTGTGCGATCAACAAGACCCACCAGCTTTCGATAGATGAAGCGAGAACAACAAAGCAAGCTCAAAGAGATTGGGATTGGACACGGTACGTGAGGTGCATGGGCCTTCACGCCCAGCGTGGTACGGCCTTCGTCTAAGCGACGCTCGTCGGCGAAAACAAAAAAGACCCTCGCCTTTCTACGCGTAACCGGAATGATGGCGAGCACGATCATCATTCCGTGACGACTTCGCGGAAGCAGCATCACGGTACGGTATGCCGTCAGAGCGGCAAACCGGCTAGACCACACAGAAGAAAGAGGAGAAGGCGGGTTTTCCACAACTCATCCCGGCAGGGTTAGTTAAACCTCCAACGTACAACAACCCTCACCCGCACAGGCTACCGTGTTCACAACGGTACTCGAGTCTAAAAAAAGGGCGCAACGCGTGCAGCCAATACTCGATGCCTTCAGGTATCCGCTTTCCATTTGTGTGTGCGGCTCTCTCTCTCTCTCTGTGTATGTATCTGTCTATCGCCACACTCCAAACCTCGCAAGCCCAAAACAGCAACATCGTCCACCGTCGCCGAAGTAGGACCAATCAACGCCGGTGAAACGCCGGCGCAGCCAATCAGTGAGTTTTCCACTACACGGCGCCCCCCTGACGTGGACAACAAGGAGAAGGACGGTTACCTCCCACAATAGGACGGACAAAAGTGACATCGGCACGTTGTCAAACCCTAAAAGCCCTGACGAACCTATCTCATAAGCCCATCTGTCCGCGACATAAAGCAAGTAGCTTGGTGCGCTATAATACTATTCAAAGCAAGCTTCTTTGATCGATATCGCAACGCACCCGTTGGGGTCATGCCATTTCAGCGTCCTGAATCTCCGACTCCTTCAGTTCCTCCTCCGGCACCGGGAACGCCTTGGACAGGTCCGCGTTCTCACCCCCCTGTGCCTCCAGAGCCGCGTCGAGCTCTTTCTCCAGCTGCTCCTTGCCGAGCGTCTCCTCGAGGGCCTCGTTAAGGTGGATCTCCTCCAGGAGCATCGCTTCCACCTTCGGCTTAACCTGCGCGTGCGTGCGTGCGTGTGTGCGTGCGTGCGTGCGTGCGTATGAGCGTGTTGCAGACCACCATCATCCCCGTTATAGCGCGCGGCCAGCACCGCCCGACGTCTCGGCACAGCCAGTCGGTGGTCCCGACATACATACATACCGCGGTCCCGAGTAATGCGGCGTCCCGATATACCGCCTGTCACGGGATATGGCTACCATATTAAAAGCTATATATTAAAGAGCGATATCCCAGGTATTCCCGAACACTCAATACAAGTGGTGCGCTGTCCCGATATACCGCGGTGATTCTATGCCTGTCACCACACCATGGTACATCGGGATCACGACGTTATGTACCCGGTCGTGCGAGCGGCCAGCACCGAGCAAACGCCTTGGTACCTCGGCAGCGTTAGTCGTATCACGCGCGCCTTCGACATAATTTACCTGCGTCGCCGTCCTGGCGCTTCGTTCTACCGTACCTAGTCTCGTGTGGGGACCGTCGGCAAAAAATGGATGAGGCGTTTTGGCTACGGGGAGAGCGAAACCGCGGGTCGTACAACACGCCAAATTTCTTTTTTTTTCGTTGGCGGCCTTTCATGGCTCGAAACCATGCTTTGGAAACCAAAGTTGTTAACAGGGGTAAGTGAGGCGAGTCATCTCCAAGGTACAGCAAGTGTCGGTATCTACCCGCCGAAAACACTGGCACTTTTATTCCAAGAGACCGGCACTGTTCAGAACCGTGCCGCACAGCAGCGCCAAACTACCGTCACTACCCAGGTCCCCTCACCACTGCTGTATCGACGAGGAGACTTTTTTGGCCAAGAGAGAAATGCACCAAACAGACCCGAGGGCTTTTCCTACTATGTACGTCTACGCGGACTTGCAAAACCCCTCTGCGCATCCTTCTTTCCGACGCACGCGACGCCGACACCGTCTCTACAGGCGATCCAAACACCATCCATTACACACAAAACCCACACAAAAAACAGAGGGTACCGACGCCCCGCTCTAAACGACGACAAATCCGTCTCCAGAAAAGCGCCGGTCATTTCGTGGGTCGCTTCATCGACTCCATTTCCTGACGTTTCTCTCAAGACAGCAGTCGTATCGGCGAGTCAGTCAACCTACTGCTGTACCATACGATGCGTATGATACCACACACCCCTCTGACCGACTCGACTACCCCGCGATCAAGAAAAGACGAGTAAAAGAAAAGATGAAATCGATTTTGGAAAACCTCTCCACGTGATGTTTCCAACGCCGGCATTTTTCGGCACCGTCGCCGTTGTTGCGGCAGAGCAATCGAGCCATGGAAACCGGTCCGGGTTCTTCCGCGACCTATATACGGTATACGGGGGTTGCCACACTTTGCGGGACACGGTCAGTACAATATGGTACTCCGCAAGAACTGCTGACTACCGTCACTGTTGTATACCGCCACGAACACGCGCTTCCAGACTTTCATGTCAAGGGACTACGTGGTCAGCTTCAGCTTTTTTTTTTCTGTTCCGAAAAATTCACGTCGGTATTACTCACCGCTGCCGCCTCTTCCTCCCCCAGGAGATAATATCCGTTCTTGGTCTGTCTGGCGATCACGAAAACCGGGTCCAGGTGTTTCACCAGGGCGTACTCCTTATCTTCGTACCTGCCATGGCGATGTGTCACGTATGCACGTGGCGGGGGGCCACGCAGGCACCAATAAAACGCACGGTATCGGGGCGAGAGCGGGCAGGCCAGCAGCAGCCAGGCCAACATGAATGAAAACAAGACATGGGCGATGCATACATATCGCGTTTTTGCGGCACGGCATACACTGGACGTGCTTACAGAGACGCTAACACATCGACTCCATTGCAATTTCGGAAGTGCAAAATGCCGGTGGGGCGGATCAATGTTTTTTTCTTTTTCCGTCCCATCTATTTTCGACAGCAGTCTGCACCTTTCCGTATACGTTTGATGCACCGCCCGGGGTCACTCAGGAGGATTTCTCCACATTTTCCTCCTGCGGTGCTTGCCTTCATTAACTCACACGACCTTTTCCCGGGGGTATCTAAACAACATTTTTTTCACCAACAAAAAGCCATCTCACGCGTGTGTTTCGATCGACGGGCCCTGCAAAAAACACTATAAATATTTATCCTAATAAATTTACGCTTGTGGTTACACGCGTCAACGTGAAAAGAGGGAAATGTCCTCGACAGATTTCGGGGACGATGGTACTACAGTAGTACCCTCAATCAAGGGGCCTATATTCCACACTGCACAAATAATAAATAGGCCATCAAACGATCAGCAAGAGCTTCCAGTGGCTACCAAGCACAACTCACCAGTAGGAGGCGATTAGCTCTACCCCCTCGGCGGTTATGTCCGTGGGGACCCTGACGTCCTCCTCCTCCTCTTCCTCCTCGGTAGGGTAAGAACCGTCCCCTTCTTCCAAAACCTGTTTTCGAAGAACAACAGAAGCAAAGGATGCCCGGAGAATAGTAGAAACATGGTTAGGTCGTGCAGGACACGTGAACAACTTTATCCTAGGAGCTTTTTATCTGTGGACAGAGAGGGGATCATTGTGATTCTGTAACACAACACACAAACACACACACGAAGGCGCGAAGATTTTCAAGCATCACAAACAATACACGCGTAAACAGCAAGCAAGGTTTCTCGACGGAACGATAGGAGAGTATGCAATGAAGATGGAAACAACAATAACGCGAGAAAAACTCCAGTACATTGGTCAGCCATCCAAACCGATGTGCCCCCACACACACACACGACAGCCAGTTCTCCCCAAGCAACCCTTTTTGCTCAACAAGACCGGATACCGGAGGTGCTCTACAGAAATGATGCATGCATACCCAAGTCCTTGAAACAATCTCGAGCGTGTGCCGAGAAATTCCGGCAGGACGGGGGCGGCCGCGCTTGGAGAGTCGAGTCCACAAAGTCGGTCCAAAGTGTGCGTGTCTCTCTCTCATTTTTTCAGTGTGGAGAAAACATATTCAGCAAGACAAATTTCCGGTCTAGCAACCAGTCGACATTCACCGTACGGTTTTTCGCACACGGCAAGGATGGTTCCGTGGTGTAGCGAAAAGCGGCCGGTCTGGCGAGCGATCGATTCAACGATGAGCCTATGTGCGCAGCAGCGGCTACATCCGTGGCCTCCTCTCGAGCCCAAAAAATCGACAAATGACGCAAGATATCACACCCCCCGGACCGATATTCAAAGCTCCATTACTCCACGATCCATAAATGGAACGACACGTTTTCGGAGAGCTATCGACGAGACCGCTCCAACGGCTCACGCCGTTTTCGGCGCCGTCGCTGTGGAGAAATCGAGCTTTGGAAATCCGTCCGGGGGGTGTGGTATCTTGCGTCACCTGCGGTAGTCGCTCACCTCGTACTCGATCTCCTCGTCCCCGATAAAAGCGGTGCCCTTATTGCTACTGTACTCCATCTCCTCCTCGTCCTCCTCGTCCTCCTCTTCCTCCTCGTCCTCCTCCTCCTCTTCATCATCATCCAGGAAATCGCCCTGTTGGGGGCACGGCCATGGCGGCACAGTAGTAGTTATAATGGCGCCACGTGTCCAGCTCCAAACTGCCTGTGCTACGTTTACGAGGCATCTCTGCATTCGAAGGCAAGTAATGCATGCCCAGCTCCAACTGTACTACATTTGTGAGGTGTCTTCGCATTCGAAGGTCGGCAAACGCGTGAACACTCCCCGTCCCGGATGTTCAAAAAAACGAAACGAATCAGTGACACACTGCGATGGTGGTACTTGTCATAAGAGCAGTGAAAAAGTCTCCAATAATATTGTTTAGAGAACTGTAAATGTTAGATATGCGGTCTAAAGACGAGAAAGTACCTTAAGGTGCACGAGCAGCCACATGGGGTCGTTCGAAAACGCAATGTTCCCGCGTTAGGGCAGGTGCATGGCAGCGGTGGCAACATCTCGTCGAGAGAGAGAAAGCTCATGTATTGCTGCTACACATCCAACGAACGGCACAACAGTTACCTGGAGGGTGAGCGTAATCGGGGTCACGAACAAGTGGACATCTTCCGCTTCGAGCTCCCTCTGCAGCGAACAGCGAACACATGGCGGGCGGGGGAAGAAGCGGCGCAAGAGCGAAGACGTGGTTGGGGGGAGAAACCAGTTAAGAAAATGCGGCCTCCGATAGTGTCAAGAAAAACAAGCATATCCAAAAAAGATAATCACCTCAGCGGTGGAAGTCCTACAGTGTACCATACATATGGCAGCCTGTCCTCCACGGACGGTAGCAACGGAACACGAATGAATCTGAGCCTCGACCCAAAATGGACATTGCGTAACTGCCGGCCGTAGCGCTCATACACGTATGTATTCCGCGCAAAGTCTTGACATGTAGACTACACCGCAACGGCGGCCGGGCTTGAGCGTTCCACGCACAAAAGTTTTCAAGGCAACGAAGGGAAGCGGGGCTGCTGCACAGCTGCAACACGAGTCGACGCCAGAACGCCCGCCTTCACACCAGGTTGTCGCTCTTGTTTATTATTGAAAGTCTTGAGGACCGTAGCGACCCCGTGCGACTCGGAACCGCTAATGTTCCCTGCTGGTCCAACCCCCGAAAGAGACTAGATCCCGTGGTCATCGCTAGCGAGCACAAACTACGCCTCCGACAGCCGCAAACGAAAATCCAATCCTACGTGAGGCCTACTCCCAATCGTTGGAAAACAACAACAACAAGAACCGGAAGAAGCAAGAAAGGGTGCAGCCGTACGGCGTCCATGGAAGAACTCGCGATGCATGGCGGAACCTGAAATGTTCCAGCATTCCAGCAAAAGTATTAGTTCATCTGATACCCTATTAAACACGAGCGCTCCGTTGCTCCGCGACCGTCGTCCACGACAAAGTTGTTTTTCTCCAGTTTTGTTCTCTCAAAACGAGGCGGGCAAGATTCCTTGACATTAGACGACCCCCATTCTTATTTCATTTTGCAGGGCACCATTTTTTCATCAGAGGAGACGATTGCACGTTCAAGGGAAGTCCATTTGAGCACCCGGATGAGGAGGGTCAACAAAATGGACCTTCAGAACCGAGATGCAAAACAGTACACACTTTTACTTTTTTTGACAGAGAGAAAGTTGGGCGATGGCGAAACTAGAGGTACCATATGCCAAGGACAAACACAACCCTTACCCTTGATCGTTGATACGCGTGATGATTCTATTCGTTCGTAGCCCACGACGCTGCCGGCGATCGTGACGACGCGGTGCCTAACGCCGAGCCATACCACCTCTGATCCGTGACAAGGCCACACAAGCAGGACCCACACCGGTCATACCACATAACACACAACCGGAAGCCCGTGAGAGCACGGCGACCCCTCCCACACCTTAGGGGACAGACCAACAAGCACGCAAGCGCTTTTTTGGACGCACACAAACACACAACACCCGCTACAAGATTCCATTGGTGAGCCGGTTGCGCGGTCGATGATAACAACGAAAACACACACAAACACAAATCCGGAGAGTAGCATAGCCTCTCCCATGACGACCCCTCACGGGGTCCCACATCGAGGCCTTTAGAAGCACATTGTGCTTCAACCGCACTGCGACTGACGTCCTGTCATTGGTCAGCCGGTTAGCGCGGTCGATGCCAACAAAAAAAAAAACACAAATGCAGAAACACACCTGCAAACCCGGCAGCAGCTCCTCCATCAGCTCCGAGTCTAGGGGCACCGCTTCCACGTTACCCTCGTCCTTGGGGGTGCACACCGACACCGCCCAGTCGCACGGGTGCCCGATCATATACCGCCGCCCGCCCACTACCGCAAATCTATCCGCGTAGCACTCGATCACGCGCGGCGTCCTGCTTTCCGCGAGAGTTGGGGGGGCAGAAAGGCGTGGGTCGGTATCAGTACCCGCGGGCAAGCGAAATATGTACTGGTGTTGTGTGTTGTACCACGGTGTAATTCCCCCGGCATTATGCCGGTGCGATCCAGCTGATAGCAGCGGCACTATTGCGGGCGACCGGCATTATTCAGAGTATGAAACAACTTGAATATTCCATCTGTGCCAGACGATTTCACCGGCATTATTCAGGGAAACCGGCATTATCGGACCGGCGTTATACCGGAACCACTTCTGCGGTACGAAAGGAAGAGGATGATACATGTTGCCGAGGGAAGACAGCAACAGTTTCACGGTAAGGGTGGCGCTGCAAGTACACAGACACATAAGCAGCTGGGCAACAGGTGCGGGAAAGCGGGGGCCCAACCGGTCCTTTGGGAACGCAACGAATTAATCCCTCATCAACAGAAAAGAGCCCAGGGATAAAACAGCAAAGAATGCATGGTGTCATACCAGTAGGTTGCGTAAGATATCACACCCCCTGGACCGATTTCCAAAGCTCGATTACTCCACAACAGAAGGAGTGGCGGTGTCGGAAATGGCGGCGTTGGAACTGTCTCGTCGAGAAATTTCCGAAAATGTATCGTTTGATTTTCGGCGTCGTCTTCGTCGTGGAAACAATACCATAGAGGTTTTGAAATTCGGTACAGGGGGTGTGATATCTTATGCAACCTATCCTACGGTACATCATATTAGCGACATCTCCCCTGTCGGCAACAAGCACAACAAGACAGTTTGGTGGCCATCTTGTGTACCGGACTAAACGTGATGTGAAGGGATTTGAACTATGTATTGCTGCTGTAAGGCGGTTTCTGTTTGGGGTAATCTGTTGCGGAGACATGGAACACCCAAAGCACGGTCTTTGCGCCAAAATACCAGAGACGGGGAGTAAATTTCAATTTAGCACGGCAGCTGTGCAATGTGCCGTTCGAAAAGATAACCACGCCACGGTGTCCTCCAGGTAAAAATGGATTTGAACCAGACGCGCACCTACTCGGCGGTAAACTCTGTGACGAGGCACATCATTCTATTTGCTGCGCAGATTGGGAAGCACCTGCAGCAGCAGTACGCAGATTCGCCTACTGACAGCAGCAGCCAAGGCCGCCTCAGCGTCGCACTGATGGCTGTGGCACGAGATGCGCACTGTTTTCTTCTAGGCGAGCACCCCAACAACCCAGCAACTCAGGACAACTGTGTCGAGGGCTCTGTTGGAACTGTTGGCGGTTGCTTCGACAAGAGGGGGGCAAGAGAGGTTGGTGTGTGGCACGTTAACAGCAACCTGTCAGAGCGTCAACGTCAACCTCATCATGTTTCCACGTGTTCAACAACAAACTCACTGTCCCGGTCGCTCTTGCCGAAACACATACGCCTGATCTAGCTTATCCTCCGGCACCGTTTCCAGCCGCGGCGGCCCTGCGATCAGAGTCCCCTGCTTGGAGCCCTTCTTCTTCTTCTTCTTGCCCTTGCCCTTCCCCTTGCCGCCGCCCCCGCGCCCTGCCCCCTTCACGCCGCTCAGCCCGCCACCCATGCCTTCCCCAGCTGCCATGAACGGCAAAAATGCAGCACCACCGGCTCTTCGTCTCTCCAGCCCCGGCCCACCGAGACGCGATCGACAAGAGAAAGCGGGTGGTGCGCTGGGCGGATGTGCGCTTGGGGAGAAGAAGAAGCTGTGGCTAGTGTGAGCCACGGACGCAAGCAGGAGCAAAGCCAGCGCTGTCCGCAGATGAGGCGTCATGTCCCTTCTTGACCGTGATCGCAACATTGCCGGCATGGCTGCAACGCCTGCGTGTAAAGCTCGGCTAAGGTTTCACAACCAAACTTGCGCGTCTGTCGTGCGTTGGGAAAAACGCCAGTGAGAGACAGCGAGGTGGAGTGTGGTGTTATGCAATGCCATAACAGCAAGTGCAGCACTCACGGGGGAACGCAACTGGGAAGGGGCACCGCAATATCAAACTGGCTATTCCACCGCAATCTCCCATATTTTTTCGTAGGAGATCATGAGATCATGCCAGGTAGCGTACAGCTTACAGCAGCAGTCGTGTTCATGTGGGCAGTCGGTCAGAGAGCGATGGAGAGGCGAGAGGGCGGCGCTTTTGCTTTCCAGTGGAACGACGATAACAGAGCTTGGTAGGATTATGTCGGAGGGCTCCTCCGCAAAGAGAGCAACGCTGTCAGCAAATGGATGCTGCCGCGGAACAAGGCGGGGTGATTCAACATGCGCCCGAAACGCAACTTGCCTTGCCCAGCATCGCTGGCAGCAGTCAGAGGTAGGAGATCACCGTGCGCACGGAGAATCCACACTTTGATGCTAGTACATTGGGTGGTATCGCAAGAGTGCATTTGTCCGCGATAACTTTGAAGGCGAGGCAAGGTGACAGCTGTTATGCATATTCGCTGATGTTCGATCCCAGCATGCCACAACATGCATGCGCATACGCTGTTCTTTGTTGAGCGAACCTTGGTTGTAGTGAGCTACCGGCGAGGGACAACCCCTGGCAATGACTGGCCCGTGGGGGGCATGCCAAGGTTCTGGAAACAACTTTAGTAGCTCAGACGCAAAGTGGAGATTGAATTGTTTGCTCTGTAGCACGACCTACGTCAGAAGTATCCCGCATCACTGGACTGTCATGCGGTGGCCTAAATGTCCGCGCTCGGCCACCCTGCACGTAAGTATATGCACGCGACAAACGCGCTGATTGTAAGCTGGCGCATTGCTAACGTTGATAGGGAACAAGGACAAAGAAGTTCGAGGCGCCAGTCGCAAGCTTCCGCTAATGGACATGACGGCATCGAGGGCGGGGGAAGTGACTCGCCACGCCTCTCTCAAGACTCCGATGATAACTTCGATGAGTTCTGGGCTGACGATTCGGTGGCGGCTACCAAAAAGAGGTGCTGGTCACGATCTACGATGGAGCAGTGGCATAGAGTTTGCCACAACAATTGATTTGCTCTTGGAGAAGTTTCTGGCAAGCGTCACAATGCTTTGTGCGGGCCTGTTTTTTGTTTTCCCTGGCAGTTACGCTTGCCTCGCGGCTTGAGCACAACCATCCACTCACGACAGAGGGCCCTTTGGCATTGAGTTATTTAAGTACAGCAACAAACTGCTACAATCTTCTAGAAATAATAGTCTTGGTATTTATCCCCTGGGGGTCTCCGTATTCCACACAAAATCCCGCCCCCCACAAACTAACCTGGTGATTCTCCTATTTGCGCGGCTCTACATGAGCCCGAAACATGGTTAAATACTCTCAGATCACGTAGTAGGGTCACCGAAGATATCATACCACCTCCATCACATACCACACTCATTGATACTTTTTTTGGGCCCCAAAAAATGATCACCCGGGATAGTATCATGTGTACGGTAAACGACGCAGCCGCGCAACCAGTGCTTGCCGGGGCTGCCCGTAACCATGTGGCTATCCTCACCGGCCCCGTGTGTGTTTCGGGTGCTGCGTCTTACCGCGGGCCACTCCGCAGCATTTTCCTTACGCCCACGAATGGAGAGCCTTCTGTGTTATTGATCACGCCTCAACCAGCACTGCGTTAGTGAAGGTATCGAGCTAAACACATCATCCCGTTGATCGTGGCGACACCGACGACGACGATCCCAAGGAGCAAGTCGCCGTTCGGAGCGGTCACAGACTGGGTCGACGACTACAGGACCAGAAAGTCGGGTTACGGGCCACCCTACTACTCGGAGTACGGGGGCGACTTGCCTAGAGAGTGCGACCGGATGGGGGCAGACCTAATGTGCGTGTCCGGGGGCTTTTTTGGTGCCATGCCATTGCGTACACGAAGCGCAGTATTTTGTGTGATGGGATGTCCGATATGGCGGTAGAATGTTCCATGTGTACACCGTCTCCACTTCGCCGACCAAGGTACATGTTTTGTTATAACCACGCATTCCTTTTTACACCACCTTCAATGATATTCCTATCTCTCCTCCAAACATCGTGCTTGACAGTACTGCTGTCTTCTGAGCGTTCAGAAAGACTTCCATGCTAGTATACCGCGTCATTGTCCTTGCGTAGAGCAAACCACGCTAAACGGATAGGTACCCGGCAGAAGTTACGCGAAGCCACAAACGGGGACTGCGTAGCTCCAACATCCTCTTTGTCATCCTCTTTGTTTCGGATCCTAAAACAGTGCTCATTTTCTAGTTGCCGACATTCCCTATGCCCCGCGGGTCGGTTCTCCAGATTCGGTTTTCTCTGCATCTGGAAGGGTGTGGGTAAAGAACTGGGTACGCCGGCTCTGATATCGAGGTTCGAAATGTTTTCGAAGAAACGTCTTTCGTTGCCGAAAATCCCACTCCTTGCCAGTAGAGGGACGCTCTAGCTTCAGACACCTGGCCACAAGGGATTGTCTCGAGTGTGTGCGTGAGAGAGAGGTATCATAACCGTCACTTCTGTGTTTGTTTTTGTCTTTCCTGCGTACCATGACACGATGATGGTAACGACTGTCCCGTGTGTTGGAACTATTCTCCTCCGCACACGACACGATGATGGTGACGACGCAGAGATGTCGACGAGCTCCTTCGGAACGGAGCTAACCCCAACCTTGGACACCGAGAAGACCAGGGGCTCACCCCGATCCACTTCGCCGCCAGGTGTGATGCCGTCGCTCACGGGTATGCCGCACGACCCCTTGCCCACGGTACATGCCCGAGAAACCGGCGGATTTTGACGGCTATACCGCACGATGCAGCAGAGCCAGTGACGGTGCCGAAAAATGGCGGCGTCGAAACCGTCTCGTCGAGAGCTTTGTGAAAACGTGTTGGTCGTTTGATTCTTGCTCCCTCGTCGTCGTGGAGAAGTCGAGCTTTGACTCCCGGTCCGGGGTGTGTGGTATCTTAAGCAACCTGGGGCAGTACACCCAGGGCGGGCGTCTCTCTTGGGTGATGCTGGTAGATAGACGCGAATAAGCCGTGTCGCCAGGCTATCGCTACCGCGCCTCTTTTGAGGCAAAAGCGCGAGCCTCAGACCTCAACATTATCTCCAAGCGAACTTACACGCAGCACGATTCATTGTTCAGTACTGTTGCCGGAAGAGGCCGTTGTCCCGTCGCTCCTGCTCTCTTTTAATATTATTTTTTGCGGCGTGTCTTGGGCGGGAATTATTTTTTCCGACGGTTTTGCGTCTCTCGGTCGGGACGGCCGCAGGTTCGGCAACGTGGAGCTGCTCAAGATGCTCAAGCGGGCCGGGGGCGACCCGGGCATCACGAACGCGCTGGGCCTCACGCCGCTCTCGTACACGTGCGCGTTCAAGCTCTCTCTGAGCAAGAACGGCGACGACTCTTGGGAACGCCAGCAGGTACCGAACCGCACGCGATTGCTTTTTATGGTTTCCCCCCCTGGGGGGTTGCAAGTGCCTTTCTCGAGAGTAGTGCGCCCCGTGAGATACATACGCGCAACAGGTCTACACTTGCGGGACTTTTGTACTACAGTCAGGCGCCTTCTACAGTGCGGTTGTGTGCCTAGCGCTTCACCCGGACTCTTACGGGCACCCACCATAGGGGTCACCCGGCTGTACGGGCTTGGACCCCCGGCACATCACACGGGGCGGACTAGAAGTGTTCCGCGGGTGCATCTGGACGATTCTCGCCCAATCTCCGGCGACCTACTGCTGCCGTGGTTCCTTTCCTGCTGTGCTGCGCGATCAGGTAGCTGCGATAAAGTGGCTGCTGGGTCAAGGGGCGAACCCCAACCACGTCGACAAGGCTGGCTACACCCCGCTGGCCTGGGCTTGCCGAAGCGGGATATTCCCGGCAGTGGTGGCGCTGGTGGAAGCAGGCGCGGACGTCATGCAGCGAAGACCGGAGCTCCCTGGAGGAAGGTGCAGGAAAACCCCCCGGGGATTTCAAAGAACCACGGCAGAGCTCTTCTGCTGCTATCTCTTCGTGACACGATTGCCGCCTCTGGAACTCGTTTCTTTCGCCTTGTTTCCTGCCTGTCTGAGTCTGATTTTTCTTGGCCGCAATGGCTCGGGCGCTCCACGGTTTTTTGCCTTGAGGCTGTTTTACATCGCTTTCGTGTATGCTGCTGAAAAGACGTGTCCCACGCCGGTTGTAACTGACGCGGACACACATGTTCTACGGTTGGAAAGAAGACAACTCTCGCTACGAGATCGCCTTCGAAGGTACCGAAACGCTTCGTCTTACCCATTTCTCCGACGCCCTGATATTGGTCCTTCGTCTGCATGTATGTAATTCCGTTTTCCGAAGTCATGTACGCCTGCCCAAGGCGGATCCTCTTGCGGTGACAACCGTCAAGCAGATTGAGAGATACGTGCAGGTGCGTGGTGTGGTACTTTTCTACGACGCACGATGCGGGGCCCCCGCTATGGTGGTCGTTGACTGCACCCCGGCGATACTGGCTCTGCGAAACAGAAGTCCTTTCGATGAACGGTGTGCTGCCTCTTCTCTCACGTACTTTTCTTGGCGACGTTTCCGATGCCAACTTCACGCGCCTTTTCTTTTATCCCCTGTGGGTTGTTGTCCGTTTTGTTCGTTTTGTCTGATTGGTACTTCCTGATTGGTACTTTGGGGCGACCATCGACGGCAAAACAGAACAAGATCAATACGATTCTTCTGAGGGAAGGAGCTCTGCTGCGACGGGAGTGCAAGGTCGACCTCCGCTCTCGGCGCCTGAAGGAGATCCAGGCAGCCATCGCCAGGAAGAAGGAGGCCAGGGCGTTCGTCATACAGGAGAAGCAACGGGTGAGCAAGCCGGCGGACGCTTCGACGGAGATGGCGAAAGCCACCGGCAAGGCAGTAGTGATGATGTGGTCGTGAGGGAGAGTTAGACAAAGGGTCGACGAAAGTGCGAAAGCAACGGGCAAGGCAGTGGTGTGGTTGTGAGGCAGAGTTGGACAAATGGTTAGCCGAACGCTTCGATGAAATTGCGGAAGCAACTGGCAAGGCGGCAAGGTTATGCGGTTGTGGGCGAGAGTTGGCTAGTTTCTTTGCGATTCCTGGTAAAGCGTTCGCCGTTGTTGTTCAGTTTACCGCGCCGACCGAAAAGGACGAGTGGGATCGATCGGCTCCACGCATCATCGTGCTGCCTGTTTCAAGTAGTACTTCTCAAGAAATGGAGAATGGAGGGGTGTGCGGCCAGGCAATCATACATAACACACGCGATCCATTTCAAAACACACACACACATACGTTTCTGTCTTTAATCCGGAGAGTAGCTCACCCTCCCCCATGATGCCCCCTCACGAGATCTCAGATCACGGGCCTTAAGAGGCCCTTTCTGTTTTCAGCGGGTGAGAGACTGGCGTACTTTCATTTGGTCAACCAGTTAGATGCTAGTTTAACCCGCACACCTCGCGCAACACGCGTCTTACAACAGATGAAGCAAACGGAGGAGCTGAGCCTGGAGCTGATGAAGGTGGACAAGGCGGAGGAGGCCCGGAAGGCTCGACGAGACTGGCTTCGGCTCATGAAGGTCTCCCCGGGTATTTGGGTCAAGGTCGAGGTAGGTTTCACCCCTCCTGCTGCTGCGGAAGCCACTCTCTTCCACCGACCCAGACCAGAAAGTATGCGTTGAGATAAACGATTTCGGGATCAGCACCTGCCACAAACGCGACTCTGTCAATACAAATGTCTCGTTCCACAGACTCGGGTCAGAAAAGTGTGCGTTGGGAATACCCGATCAGCACCTGACGTCAGGCGCGACTCTGTCGACACGGATGCCCTTCGTGATCCAACTCGAATCCCCTCGAATGTCATGTTCGCCTTGGTCTAGCTAGCTTTACCATTTGGAAGGGGTAAGAGTGCAAGGTTGTGCTATGACTGGTCGCCTGTTGCCTTATCCATGGGAGCGACTCCAAGAGAAGAAGGAGAGGACTGTGTAGGCGTGCATCCACGATCCTCAACGTTTCTTGGTGCCAGCGATCCTCCGGACCAACGATAGTTACCTACGGTTTCGGTAGAGCGGGATGGCGTAATTTCATTTCTCTACAGCCTACAGAAGCGGGCGCAATTATTTCCAGGCAACCTTTGGCACGCGTCCCTCCCCACCCCACAGGGTGCTGCGTCTGCGGGGACCCCAGGTGTGAGGGCAAGGAAGCCTCGCCCCCGGTGGGTGTTTGACACGAGCACGGCGGTTTCGAAGAGCGAGGCCAAGGCGCACGGCGTGCTAGAAGAGGTGCGTGCGTCGAAAGCGTGGCTGGCGGTTTCCTAATTGGTTTGTATAGGTCTCAGGTCTGCCCTCATCCCCATTCGTTCCCTCTCCGAAGCGCTGCTGTAACTGTAAGTGGGTTGGGCTCAGTCAAAGTGGGGGCGCGTTGTTTTTTCAGCTCAAGTCTCCTACTTTTCGTGTTTTCCTGTCTGTCGACCATAGCCCGCACTTCACGATTTTTCTATGTACTACATGCAACCCCCAACCAGGATGCGACTACCACCAAGAGACGATCACGATGAACGTCGATACTTCGATCCTTCTTTGTCGGAGTACACGACTGCTCTAAGTCGCAACGCCATACCTGTCGATATCGCCCAGCCTTCAAGGCATCCTGTCGTTTCATTGTCCATCAGGACTCATGAGGTCTAACACGTATACTGTACCAGCTATATTTATTTTCGGAAACAGGAAGTAGAGCCGTTTCCGATGCCGACCTATCTCTTGAAAACGGTCGCGACACAGGCCCGACAAGTAGAGGCGTTTATCATAAACGGGGGGCAGAAGCAGAAGATCCTCGCCCCTCGTTGGCGCTCGATGACTGGCAAGCGTCTGCTGCGACTGGAACACGGGCAGCGGGTGGGGTTGGCGGCAAAGGTGAAGGGCCGGAGACGAGATCGACAAGGCGACGGGTCCCGCGGCGGCGGTGTTGGTGGTGATGCCGAGTCCGGCAGCGGTCCTCCTCCCCCGCTGAGCGGGCTCGAGGAGGAAGGGAGCGATACTTCTAGCAGTAGTGGCGGTAGTGAGGAAGGGAATTGAACCAGGTTGTTGACTGGAAGGCGCGATGATGTGTAGTGCTCCTTTTGTTCGCGTTGTTGTTGTTGTTGTTGTTGTTGTTGTTGTTGATGATGCTGCTGCTGCTGCTGTTGTTGTTGTCGTCATACTTTTGACTCCGCGCATTTTTTTTTCCTGCGGATGTGAGGTCGTTGTGTAGGCCTGAGAGTGAACGAGCCGCTTGGATCAACATGCACCCCACCCCGTGCCTGATGCACTATTAGTGTGCATAGGATAAAAGGAAGGATGAAAAAGTTCGTTCGTGTACTCGCGAACGACACGCACACAACGCATCTTTCTTCTTCCCCGCGAAGTCGGACTGCGGGCAGTGTCGAAGGGCAGGAAACCTATCGCCGTGTTCGACCTCGAGTGGGGTGATGGTCTCTGTGTCCATCCCGGGGCAAAACTGCAGCAGTGCTCTACATTTAGGTGCCGTCTCTGAATTGCTTCATATTGCGGCATTCATTGTGTAGCATGGTTCGTGCATGCCATTTTTTTGCCTCGTGCAAGGGGACTGCTGAATGAATCTTTTTCGGGTTAACCATGGGTTAACAGTCGAAGACAAACACCGTTCGGGGCAGGTAGAAGAAATAAACGGTCCCCTGTGTTGCTACGTCCGGTGATTTGAATTGGCGGGCAAAGGGTTTTTTATTTTCGTTTTTCTTAATATGACACAACGAAACCATCTCTATCATAGAAAAGAGTCTGAGACAGATTAGTTAGCAATGGATTCATAGCGTCAGAAAGTACCTGTATGTCTATTTGTACGTTTTTTTTGTTTTTTTCACATCTTTTGGAACTTGGGTTGGGGGGTAGACTACATATTCTCCGCGTGCCCCCTTAGACTGCTGTTGTTGTTGCTCGGAGCAGTTTCTGTCTGGTTTGTCGTCCCACACATCTTCGACATGAAGACGGCTGTACCGGTGCACGCGCTGTGGGCGGGATTCTGCGCCTTGTCGCCCTGCCATGCATTTGTTCCGTCGAGCAGCCTGTCTTCCTTTGGAGGGCATACGGTAAGCGCATCACGACAATTCCACCGCAGTGGCGAAGATGATGTACTTCTGTCTCTTCGCGTTGGTCTGCAGGAGTCAAAGTCGCCACTGCTGTTGCGTACTTCTATGCTCTTCCGTGCTCTTCCCAGCGCAAAGCAGCACCAACACGTCAATCCTTGCACGTGCGTTGGTGAGCGCGTCATCCCGACGAAGGAACGTATGTGTTACCTGAAACAGACAACGAGGGGCCTTCTTGTTTTTGAGCAATCGAACCACGCGGCGTCACTTCGATGGGACGGGAGGGAAGGAAGGAGTGGGGCGATTTTCGGTCACGTTTAGCTTGCAGCAGCAGCAGCGGTATCCAACACCGCCCTTTGTTGTAAGCCGGCGATGAGCCTCGAAGGCAAGCACCAGGACAGATACCACCAGCTGCTTTCCCGAACCGTCGATTGCTGTCAATATCAAGTCTAATGGGCTACATACGTACTCCGTATACGTGACATGCAGGCAGACTGCTGCGAGCGCCGAGCATGATCTCCGATGTCGCCCTTGCCAGTCATCGATTCCGGCAGTAGACAGCAGTGGCGGTCGCACGACTTCGGACATGCCAATCGCGCGGGTGCTGTTCTACATGGCTCTGAAGCATTGTAGTTGCACACATACCGCAATATTGCAATGTACCGCCACCGTTGGGCACTCGTACACTCGTACCGAATCCGGCCCGAATCCGCAAGAGGGGCCACGCAAACTGCACCCACACCTCAGACTCCACCCTGCCCCTTCACACCCTACGTGCTACGCTCGACACACACACCCCGACTCCTGGATATACATTCGAGGGCCTCGATGTGATTTGATGTGTGGTCGTTTCATGGGTGCCATCGACTGCCCTACAATGTGGCAAACGCAGCTTTCGTGTTGGTGCCCTATGAGGGTTGTCGGTATCTGTTTGAAGGTGGTGTGTCTTTGTGAGACGATGCGTACAACGAGGACGTTTTTTTTTTGCCTAAGAAAGCGGTTTTGTGCGATCGGCTGCCGTGTATTGTAGATACCTATTAAAGTGCCTGGATGAGGAGGAGAACCTCACAAAATTCCTTTATCCAATGAAAAATGGTTGACACAACGAGACACATAGCAGCAGCAGTGCTTCCTACACTTGGATTCCACCACGGGGCGTGAGCTAGCATCAACCGGTTGTAGTCCCAGCTCCATCTGGCCGGTGGCCTGAGGGGGCAAGAGGCTGCGGCACGGCCTAGGGGACGTTAACGGAAAGAAGCCCTGAAGGTTCCATCCTGAGTGTTTCTATCCGTTCTTCTCTCGCCTTAAACTATATTTGACTACCCGACGTCTTTCGGCCCCTTCGATTGGCAAGGCTCGAGTCGCTGGTTCTCGCCATCACACAAACACCCATGGCAGTTTACTCTTCTCCTAGCCGTTGCAACCGGGGGGGGGGGGGGGGGCCGAAAAAAAAAGCCCCCCCAGGAAAAACCCCCCCCCCCCACCCGGGGCCGGTAAAAATTTCCCAACCCTAACCCCAGGAACGGGAAAACCGCCCCGGAAAAAAATTAATTTTTCCCCCAATTTTCAGGAAAAAAAGGTAAAAAAACCCGGGGGGGGAAGGGGGGGGAAAGAAAAACCCCCTCCAAAGGACACCCGGTGGGGGGGATAACCCTAAGGAGGGAAGAAGGGAAAAAAGCCCCCCCAAAAAAAAATTCCGGGGGGGTCCCTTTTGGTAAAACCCCAAAAACAAACCCCTGTTCCTGGAAAACCCCCCAGGGCCCCCCCAAGGCCAACCGAACCCCCCACCTTTTTTTTTTTCCATG